TGGGGACAGGATCTTCAAGGCAAGAAATTGGAAGCAATCTGATAATCTCGGAGGAGGCCAAGGAAAACTGTTCCCTTCTTTTGGAAGCAGTCTGAAGTTTGGAGGCCGAAAGAGGAGTCACTGGCAGCGCTTGACTAACCCTGCTGATTGCGCCCACTGGCCCAGGAGCCTCCAGGCAGGGCCCAGGTCTTCCTCTTCTGTTTCTCCAGTGCCTGGCATAGGGCTGGACACCCGGCAGATGGCGCCCCCTAAATTCTGATGGAGGAAGGGAGGGAGGGGGAGAGAGAGGGACAATGTCCGGAAAAGGCATAACTTCTCTTTGGGGTCCTCTTGCTCTCACCTCCCTCCTCCGTCCCATGGCCCCCCACGTGGCGGGTGTGCGAGTGCTCAGTTACAGCAGTCTGTGGGCTTCCCACTTCTCCCGTTTCTTCTTTATTATTGCCACTCTCACCTGGCCTGCTCCTCAGCACCAGCCCCTTTCTTTTCACCAAAGTCCCCTTTGTACACTGAGAGAGAGCATGAGAGGGACAGACAGAAAGGGAGAGAGAGGGGAGACAGACAGACACTGAAGATGCTTTCTGCTTGCCTGAATTTTGGCATCTTCAAGCGAGCGCGTGGAGAGCTACAGCAGGGGTGGGGAAGCCCACGTGAGGGTTGTGTGTGTGTGTGTCTGTGCGCGTGAGTGTTTACACACAGGCGTGTACGGCTCGGTCTGCTGAGCACCTGGGAGCCCAGGGCCGCCTCACATGGCCCTTTAAATGGGTCATTCTGTATCAGTGCCACAGCTTTCCCCAGACACAGCGTTTCCTCTGAATTCTGCCTCCTCCACTCCTCCCTCCCCCTGCCCCAATTCCCTTCTGCAGGGGGAGGAAATGCCAGCCCGCCCCTTCCCCTTCCCCTCAAGACGTGTCTGCATGTTGAAGGGGTCAGAGCAGTACAAGTCCAAGAACGCGGGGAAGAAGAGACCGACAGGGGTTTATAACGGGCCCCGTTTCCAGCCCTTCCCACCGCCTGGGAAGCAGCCCTGGTGTCGCAGAAGTCCCCGTGGTGAGGGCAGACCACCCCAAGGACCCAGGACTGTGGGGTGAAGCAGTGGGTGGAGGAGAGGGGTGTGAGAGCAGTTTTGTTCCTATTTGTGCTTCTTTCTGCAAGAAGCCCGTGGCCTGTGGCGGTGGAGATCAGCTGTCCCGTCCAGGAGCCCGGCGCTCTTCCAGAAGGATGTGGCTTCCCATGGCGTCCCCCTCCCCTAGAAAGCTGTGTAGTGCCTACTGGACAGTGAAACACACCCATTTTCTCGTTAAAAAGGTCAGTTTCCTTTCCTCAAGAGGCTGCCTTTCCCCAGACTAGCTCAGCGCCCAGCAATTCAGAGATCCATTAGGACAGAGCACGTGAAGCGGCCATGTCTGTGGGTTGGAAGCGCGGAAGCACTGGCAACTGCGTGTGGTTCAACCTCATTCTTAATTCCAAAGTGAAGATTTGGTCTGCGTGTGTGTACACAATAAAGCACCTCATTGAATCAAAAAGGAGAAAAAACATGGACTCGATTGCCAGAAAATCTGGATGTGAGGACTGGTGTCACCATCTTATTAGTGAGTTCCTTAACTTCTCAGAGGCTCCCTTCTCTCATCTGTAGTCCCTTCTTCGCAAGGTAGTTGAAAGACGTGAAAAGAAATGAATGTGAAAATGTTTTTCACGTGGCAAATCATACAGCAGGGAGATCCTGTATGTATGTGTGTGTTTAGATATTTTATACATATAATTTTTATCCTTATAAATCCCACCTGATGTCTGAGGAGAGAAACATCAGAAGAATCTGTCCTTTTCTGTGTCCTTTTTGACATAGAAAATGTTGAACACTTCTGTTCTCAGGACTCTATTTAAATGAGAGATTCTGCCTTAAATGAAAGTATGTCTTATTTTTCGTAAAAAACATTTTGAGTTTCAAAAAGCTTGTCATTTACATGAGGGGATTAAATCAAGAAACTATTTTATGGATGGCATAAAAGGCCAGCAATCAAGACTTCTTATTTTAAACACTGGAAGTATAAAGACACACATAACTGAATAATTTATTAATTGCCTTTTGCCGGGGCCCCTGGGGCAGTGTTCATTTTTAAATATACAAGATAGTTTCTCATACTTTGCCCCATACGATAGATGTTTTTCTAAACTGTTTGAGATCTAAATTGTCACAGATTGAACCATACCATCACAAAGCACAAGGAAGGATTCTTGTCTAAAAGACACAGAAGACTTCTGTGTGATAAGATTCATTTTATTAAGTAAAAATCCTTCTGTAGGACAAGTCATCACTCCCAAGTTATCTGTGTCATGTTCTCGTGTTTCCTGTGTTGGGTTTTCTTGAAGTGATTTGACAAGAAATTGTTTCCACTGGGGATGTGTGAAGCTGCACTAGGACGGAGTATCCTGCCTTGGTTTCAGCCTCTGAGCCCTTCACTGGTTGGGTGAGGAAGACGCCAAGGGGACTGGTTACTACTGCCTTGTTTGCTGAGGTTGAGTTACCGTCTCACCCTGCTAGGCTCTGGGAGAGAATGAAAGTAAAGGACCTGAAAAAAAAAGTCTCTGTTCCCCAGGGGCTCTCAGGCTTTTCAACATTTATAGCTGCAGCAGTGCTGGCTTCGTGTGAGATTTTTTTCCTTCTCCCCTGTTGTTTCACTGTGCTTATTTTATTGGAGGAATCATGGGGATGGGGGGATGAGGCAGCTGGTGGAAAGGAGTGACTGGCTGGTTGTTAACCCCTCAGCTGCTGGGAGGCTGGTCATCTCCTGATGTTCGCTTAGCTCTAGGAGCTGCTGTGGCAGCCAGCAGGGGCAGACAGCACAGATAGACTGTGGCCTGGCCTCGGATGTGTGGGCGGACAGAGCCCTGGATGGGAACCCTATCGAGCTTAACATTAACTTACTGTGATCTTGCACGAGCCCTCCTGGACCCTCAGTCTCTTTTTCCCTCAAGTGCAGATCAGAGGGTGTGACTGGATCAGCTTGGCAAACTCCAGTGCCTTCCAGTGCCTGGCAGGTGTAGTAGGGGAAGCCGGCCTGGGGAGCAGTGGGGCAAAACTGGAGCTCCCCAGCCTCATCCAAGGTCATTGAGAGTCCAAAGATTGAAGTCCACTCTGCAGGGCAAACTCACCATCTTTTCCCCAGGTCTAGATACTGTCACTTACATGACTCCTACCACATGCCAGGCAGCGTTCCTAGTGCTTTACACATATTAATTCACGAATTCATTTCACCTTCACAACAAACCGCAAGGTAGGGAATTGAGACGGATACCGTTGTCATCAAATTTTCAAACGAGGGCGCTAGAAAGAAGGAATTCTGAGCCACCCACCCGTGGTCTTGCCAGACCCAAAATACAGACAGTGCTTTTTAAGACAGGTCCCAGATAGGGCCCAGAGGGGGCCTGGACCTCGGCTGAAGGAGAGAGCAGTAAATGCGATCTAGGCTTACTTTGCCCACCGTGTTATCACTCGGAACACAGTGAGAGATGCCGTCTTCTGGTAACTCTTTTGCTTTTAAGTGTGGTCAGTACATTCATATTGTGCAACCGTCATCACCATCTGTCCACACAACTCTTTCCATTTTTGCAAAACTAAAATGCTCCCCATGTAGCAACTCCCATTCTTCCCTGCCCCCAGCTCCTGGCAGCCTCTGTTCTACTTCTGTCTCTATGACTTTGACTACTCGGTATCTCGTATAAGTGGAATCAAACGTTATTTGTCCTTTTGTGAGTGGCTTAGTTCACTTAACGTCATGTCTTCAAGGTTCGAGCATGCTGTAGAAACTTCCCTTTTGAAGGCTGAGTAATATTCCATTGTATGCATATCCCACCTTTCGTTTCTCCATTTATCCATCCATGGTTACTTGGCTGGCTTCCACTTTGGGGGCCATCGTGAATCACACTGCTGTGAACGTGGGTGTCACTTCTAAGGAGAATGAAGGCCTGTGGATGGACATCAAAGGGAGGCAGAGCCTGGCGGGACAGTAGCAGGAAGAGCTTTTCAGTGATGAGAGCCCCTTCAAAGGGCTGCCCCAAGAGGCAGTGAGCTCCCTGTCATAGGGGCTGGAAGGCCATTTTGTCAGCTTCTTGGCAAAAGTGTCCCCATTAGGGGAAGATGGACTATCAGGTGACTCCCAAAGACTTTCTCTTCCCTAGAGCTTCACCCTGGGGAGGAACTGAGGGGCCACCCACTGTCAGAAAACTGAGCTCTCTCGCACTGGGTTGCCAGATCCAGTGGAGGACACTAACACCCGTTCTGCTCCCTGTCTCCTGGCGAGGCTCCTCTGTGGGCAAATGCCAGCAGGTGACAACGTTGTCCCGCCATCTACTTCTTAGCACAGAACACGTAAGCCAGCAAAGCTTAGACTTTCCCACCTAAAGAGGGGCCGTGTGTCACCCACCTTGCCTTTTGTGCTGAAGGATGTGCAGGTCACTGAGGAATCACGGGGAGAAGGGAGGCGATGGGCACGGAGCCCAGTGCGGCAGGATTTCTCCCTCTTTGGGCAGCTTCCCTGCATCCCACTTGGTCCACCGAAGCATCCATAGGCATTATTGTTGCGTTCAGGGCCTCTGTGAAGTTTCACACGTGTCCTTCAGCGTCAGAGGACTTTGAGACGTGCCCCTGAGCTGGGCTGGGGCCAGGCAGGGGAGGCAGGTGGTGGGGGGACAGAAGCCCCGGCTGTCCCCACTTGCCTCTTTCTGTAGGACTCACGTGTTCCAGGGAGATTCCAGGCTCCTTTCTGCTTCTGGGTAAATGGAATCGTGCTTTGAAAGCACTGCAGGAGTGCCCCTCAAAGGGATCCTGTGGCGAAGTCTTTTGTAAAGCCAACAGGCCTTTTGTAAGGTGAATAATTGTACTCTGATTATCTGCCTTGGAGGTTCAGAGTGTTCGGAGATTCTCAGGGGAAAGAGGGATTCGTCTGAAGACCATCTGCGCCCCCTCTTTCCAATGCCCAATTCTCTAAAGCATCCCCCCGGAGGGACACGTAGCCCTCGTTTGAAGCCTTGAATGATGGGAAACTCACTACCCCCCCCCACATAGCTCATTCCATCCTTGGACAGCTCTGCTTATTAGAAATGGAAGCTTATCCTGAACCATAAAAAAAAAAATCTCTCTGAAGTTTTCATCCATTGAGTCTTCCTCTATCAGGTTACACTGAATGTGCCCTTTCTTCGCCGTGACCCACTTGATAGGGCCAACAATGAACTTGACCCCCGAGGCTTCTCTTCACTCATCCCTCCGATGCAGGGCTTTGAGTTCTTGTATCGTCGTCATGGTTCTTCTTGGACTTGGCTTGGTTTGCGATCCCGCCTCCCTGTGCGACCATGGGACCCAGCAGTTGATGCCGCCGTCAGGTGTCTGTCCGGATAGAGGAGGCGGGACTCTCCTCTCGCAGGAGCTAGGTTCCTGTCCTCTGTTAGTGCAGCTCAAGAGCTTTTGTGCCAGTAATAAACCTTCCATTGCCTAACATCTCAAAGCCATGCTGGTGTGACCTGCAATTAAGCCACAGTCGCCTCACTCAGGACTTCATGGACATGATTTTCTTTCTTTTTCTTTTTTTTTTTAATTGTCGGGTTTCCCTAAGCGGGATGCATCTGCAGAGGAGTGGTCTGATCTGGAACTAATGGAACTCTCTCTCCTTTTTCCCTAGAACTGGTCAGGCATGAAGTGTCAATTCAAGCTGCTGCGAATGGCTGTGGCCTTGATCTGTAGTAAGTTCTGACGGGGCCGGCTGGAGGCGGGAGCCCTGTCCTGGGCCTGGGGTCGTGGAGCGGGTGGGGATGGCACAGTCCTTGCTCTTCAGGGCCTTGTGGTCAAAAAGCAAAGGGAGACGTGTCCACAGGGTGCAACAAAGTGGGGCTGTTATGAGACAGTCTGGCCTACAGTGCTGCTTCCTAACCTTTCTTCAACTTTTCACTGACCTGTAATGTGCAGACAGAAAAGCACACACAGGGGAAGTGTCCAGCTTAATGGTCGGGCTAAGAAGAAAATAACCTCTTTTTTTGCTCTTATTTGTTTTTTACTTAAAAAAATTTTCTTTGGTGTCAGTATTTTTATTTAAAAAAATGTTTTCCATCCAGTTTTATTGAGGTGTAATTGGCATACAGCCCTGTGGCACAATGACTGGACTTAAACACATCATGACATGGTTAGGACTGTATGTTTAGCAAGCATCCATCGTCTCCTACATATACCAAATGAAAGAAATAGAAAAAATATTTTTTCCTTGTAAGAAAAATAACTTCTTAATAAGCTTTTCGGTCATGGAGTCGATCCTTTGAGATCTCCTGTTGGAGGCTCAGGATGCCTTCCCAGAAAAAGGCTCACGCGCACACACACACACACTCTCTCTCTCTCTCTCTCTAAAACTTACAGTTTAGCAGACTCACAAGCCATAGCTAATCCATGAGCCCCTAGGAACAACTGCAATGGGGCCTTTGCTGGGAGAAGTCAGTCTACCTACAGAGGGTGTTTTGAGTGTGAAAGAGGCGGGTGTTCACCTGGTAGACAGGGTGTTAAGGGGGCATTTCGGGTGCAGCATGAACAAAGACACGGGGGGTGAAGGGTCATGGCTGGCAAGTCGGTTCACCAAACTGACCCATGAGGTTCAGGTCTGTGTATGATTGTATAAGCGATCATAAGAGTCAGATCACGGAGAGCTTTAAACACGTAAGAGAAAGATTGGATTTCATCCTGAAGGCAATGGGAGGCCACTAGAGGGCTGTAAACAAGAGAGGTGCTGACAGCTTTGAGTTTGAGGTGACTGGTCAGGCCGCAGTGTGAAGGAGTTGAGCGGGGGCCGGGTAAGACCTAAGGCCAAGGGGCTCATTCTGAGATGAGTCCGAACAGAAGAGAGAAGAGGGGACGCAGATCACCGTCAGTCCCCGGAACACGGCTCTGAAGAGCGGATTATCGTCAGGATTAACTTACAGCCTCAGAGCGCAAAGTTCTTTGCCCTGGTCACCTCACCTTGAGATGGTAGCGCCAGAATTCAGATCCAGCCTGTACCGTGTCTAATGCCCAGTACTTTAGCCAGGCTGGGCAGGAGCTCCTGGACTGTCACTGCCGCAGTCAGCCACCTGCTACGTGGGGAAGAGGGAGATTGAGCGAGAACAAACGTGGGATGGAGGAGGGGCCTGGGTGGGCCCCACTCACATCCGCTCTCACATCCCTTATAGCCCATGGCTTCCAGGGCCCTCTGATCTCAGTTTCCTGGATGGGGTTGGAGTATCTCTAATCCCAGAGAGGACCCTCCTGCCCTAAAATTCACAGACTCTTTGAGCCAGGGCAGTGGTGGGGGGCAATGGAGGGGCGCATGGCTTCCTTGTCTGCTTAGACTCATTTGTCTGTTTGCAAGGAAGGGAACAGAAGCAGAAGTCTTGCTGTTTAAAAGAATCCAACTCCAAGTATCATAAAAACTAAAATGCTGTTTCAGAGCCGGGACCAGTGCCTTTCAGCCTTCCCTTGTGGACCCCCAGGACCTGGAAAACAAAGGCAGGAAGATAGCCCGGGCCATGGGAGGTGCTGTGGGGAGGGCACGGTGTCCGTCCCTGGCTGCTCCTTTTCCGCCATCTATCGGCCATCCCTGGACTCGCAGGGCCCAGGCCAGGAGCTTAGGCAATTCCCAGGGGAGTGGTGTCCCTGGAGGTGCTAGCACCTCTGGCGTGGTCAGGGTGGAGAGGGGCGCACTGGCTAATTAAACGGTAACTGAGTAAGTGCAGAATTCCCCTCGCAGGCTTTCAGTCTTTCAGATTTGCCTTGGTTTCCTCATCTGTCACGTGGGAATGAGTTTGGGTGGTGGGTGATGAGATGGCCCAGCTCCCCAGCATCTGTCCTCTCAAGAGAGAACATCCCCATTGGATTGGCGACCCAAGAAGTTCGTGCCGGAAGGACGGATTGGAGAGCGGGATGGGGGCGTTTTAGAATCTCTTAAGATTGAATTCTAGCTCCTTGTTGGGACCATTTATTTCCATTTCTTCCTTGCCCTTCGCCCCTTTCATCCCTTCCTTCCACAGAAGCGCTGCTTCTGAGGGTCTTGAGATAGCACAGGAGGCCACTTGATAAACTGTTAAGAACTAACACACACTGAGGTTATTATTGAGTTTCCCAAAGTGCAGCCCGGTTCAGAGGGGCTGAGACCTGATACAGGTGAGGGAACTCAGCCTCTGAGGTTCCGGCCGCAAGGGTGTGAGGGGCCTTTGGGCTTCTGCACGAGAGCTGTTCCCTGCCTGGCATGCTCTTCTTAGCATCTTCTCTCTCTCTCTTCTTTTTTTTTTTCCGTGGGGGAGGTAATTAGGGTTTATTTATTTTAATAGGGGTGCTGGGGATTCAACCCAGGACCTTGTGCATGCTAAGCACACGCTCTACCACTGAGCTATACCTTCCCCTCTCTTCTTTTTTTTTTAATGAAAGTGTAGTTGATTTACAATGTTGTGTTAGTTTCCTTAGGGTCCTCTCCTGATATTCAAATGTCACCGCTTTAGCAAGATCGGGCCTGATTCCCCAAACTAAAGAATCCCCCTTCTTTAAAGCCGGCATTGATTTTAAATCACCATTCCCCCCCCCCAATAGAATTTCTTTTACTGAAATTATCTTATGTGCTTAATTGTATGCTGGTCGATTGCCAGGCCCTGTAAGCTCTGGGAGAACAGAACATCTCTGTCGTCTCCATGATGACATCTCCAGCGCATCTAGCAAACGCTGCTTGGCCTGATGGGGAGTGAATGAGTTAGTGGGTGGATGGATGGAGAGAGTGCAAGGCTGCCCCCTCAGCCCCCAGCCCCTGGCCCTCCTGTGACTTCTCTGTGCTTCCTCCCCTTGCAGTGAGCATGGAGTTTGGGCGGGCTGTGTGGCTGCGGTTCCACCCATCAGCCTATCCCCCGTGCCCTCACCCGAGCTTCGTGGCGCACCTGGGTGGCGTGGCTGTGGGCATCACCCTGGGCGTGGTGGTCCTGAGGAACTACGAGCAGAGGCTGCAGGACCAGTCGCTGTGGTGGATTTTTGTGGCCATGTACACCGTCTTCGTGCTGTTCGCTGTCTTCTGGAACATCTTTGCCTACACCCTGCTGGACTTAAAGCTGCCGCCACCCCCCTAAGGGACTGGAGGACCCTGGCAGGGGAGGGGAGGGAGACGCTGCATCAGCGAGAAGCAGTTGCTTCTTTTTCTCATCACCAGCGCAGTGAGGCCGGGAGGAGAGCACAGGAGGCGCTGGGCCCCTGTGATATTTGTGTTCAGATTTGCACAGACAGTGGAGCCATTTTTCTGAAAGGCACCTGCTGGAGGAGTTGGATGTGGCTTCCACAGTCTTTCTGGACTGTTCTGAAGACATTGGGCCAGGTCAAAGGCCTGGGGCGGGGTGAGAGTGGCCGTGCGCTTGGGCTGGGTGTGTCCTGTGTGTCCAGGAGTCCCCTCCCTTGTCACAGATTGGGCAGCAGCCTTCTCCCCCATCCCCCACCCTGAGAGACCCTAAGAATGAAGGGAGGCCCGAGGCCGTGGTGGCCAGGCGGGCCCTTGTCCAGCCCAGAGGTAAGTGCTGGCCGGGAAGTGATCCCTCCATAGCTGTTGGGTCTGGAGCTCCGGAGTAGAAAGGGGCCTGGGGAGGCCCAGGGCGTCCTTTCGCGCCTGTTGGTGGGCACTGGGGTGTGGCCTCTAGTGCCTGGGGTGGGCAGAGGAGGGAGATTCTATAACTCCAGGCCCCACCCTTTCCCTGGGGGTACCCAGCAAAAGGATCCCACGTAGGAGGGAAGAATGAACTTCACCCCAAGTTCCGCCCTGGGGAAGGGCGTCAACTGTGGACTTCCCCCGGAGTGCTGACATCTCACGCCAGTGCCCCAGCATCCCTGCCCTGCTTTACCTTTAGGGTCTTTTCCTTCCCTTCCAGTGCCCTGACCCCACTGTGTCCCTGTCCTTTGCTTACAGAGACGATGTTCAAGTATGTGTGCGCGTGCGTGTTTGTGCGTGTGTGTGCATGTGGTTTGGTGGGCAGATGCACACGTGATGGGAAAAACAATGTGAGGCCAGTTGGAGGCTGCAGAGGAGGCCCGGAGGGGCAGTGAGGGGGTGTGGGGGAGTCTGTGTGAGAAGAGGGAGGGCGCTGGAGTGGGGGTTGCTTCCCGAGGATCCTTGCTTTGAGCAAAGCTGGCCCCTTCTTTCCCATCCCCGTGCCTCCACTTCCCAGGCGCTTCCCTGAGAATCGCTGACCAGTGGGAGACTAGCTGTCGGGGAGGGAGACCTGGAGCCCTTCTGGGGACCCTCAGGCTGCTGAGGTTTTCCTTGCCTTTGCCAGGTTCCATTCTGATTCCAATCCAGAATAGCCTTCCTTTCTGAGAAGATTCTGTTCTGTCTCCCCTAGGAGGGAAGGGGCTTTGGGGGTGCAGGAGAGGCTGGAGCAGGAAGGTTGAGGCCAAGCGTTCTTCTGAGTCGGGGGCACAGGAGACTGCAGTGAAAGGAATTCCGATTCAGAGAGAAAACTGCTTCTGGAGAATTGTTGGGTACTTGGATGAGTGTCAGAGGTGAGGGCAGCCTGCAGACTCAGGTGCTCAGAGTTGGGAGGGAACTTGGAGATGATCAAATCCAGCCCCCTACCCATTGCATAAGTGGGGAAACAAGGCCAAGGGAACGACCCTGATGGGAGGGTGTGGGGAGGACACATGACAAACTCTGCCATTCCTGCTCTGGAAACCACTGGCAGCTCAGGAGGACCACAGCCTGGGGGGCAGAGGGACTGGTCTGGGCAGGAACGAGGGCAGGAGTTACCTCCTGCCAGCCACATATCTGTTGGAGCCCTTACATATACTTAGCTCCAGAGTCAGCCGGGCCAGGCATTCGGGGATCTTGGGCCACTGCGTCTTCTTGGCCCCAGTAATCACCTGAAGATGAGCAGAGTTTTCCTACCCAGGGACACCCCCATCACCCCCAGGCTATACCAAGACTTTCCCTGTCTTTGCCCAACGAGAAACAGATTGTCCTGGTCCCTGCACATGGCTCTTGAGGTCACAGTGCACTTGTGCCAATGCTGTGCCAATGACAGCCAGCCCTGGCGGCTGGGCCCAGGTCTCTGGCTGAGCTGCTCCAATGGGGGCATCTTGTCTGTGCCCTGCCAGCCTTTCTCTGCCCTACTGAGAGAAAGGTGTGCTGGAAGGGTCCACTTCTTAGGAGAGGGGGCTGAGATGGAATCGGGGCCAGGGAGACCTGGGTGAGGATGGAGAATGGGGCCTGGGCCGTGGGCTGCTGCCACGCTAACCCTGAGTCATGCTGTCCCCTTTTGGAGGGACAGGGGCAGCTGGTGCCAGATCCTTCTCCTGGCACCCGAGAGTTTTGTCCAGTGCAGCCTGGAGAGGGGCTTTCCTCTCTCAGGGGTGAGAAGACTTAGAACCAGAAGGTTCTAGAAAGCCCTCAGAAAAGCACCCAGTTCTGTCAGGGCTTCAGATGGAAGCCTGTTATGGAGAAGGACTGCCTGAGGCAGAAGTCCCACCTCCCATCCTATTAAGCCTGCCCTGCAAGGTCTGGGATGAGCTAAGGGAGCCTCCTCTGCAGCTCAGGCCACCAGCCCCGGCTGCTCCCTGTCCAAAAGCAACCTTGAAGCCCACCTCCACCGCCCTCTCCCTGTATCCCTGCCTAGTTGGGAAAACAGTTTCTGTGTTTTGGAGACAGCGCTACCTATATATATATATAAGGGGAGGCATTGTCTCAAACTCAGATTTACTGCACAAACTGCTTTGCCTATAAACCGGCTCTAGGAAACATGCTGAGAAATCAGCATAAATGTTTCTATGACGTCTAAGCAGGGCCACACAGTGGTGACATCAGCCACTTCACATGATCCAGGTCTCCAACTGAGGGCCAGGAGACAGCTGTCTGGTAAGGAAGGTTTACTCTTTGGGGCCTGGCTTGCTCCTCAGCAGGTCCCTTTGTGCCCAGCACCTGCCAGAACTCCATCCCCATCCACCCTCCTGCCTCAGCCAGTATTCTCCACCCCTCAACCTCCCCTCTGAACCCCCGTGGCCAGCGTGCTGGGAAGCAGAGGGTGGAGTGAATCTTGTAAAGGCCAGCCGGCCTTTCGTCCACTGGATACAGAGATTGAAAGCTGGGGATTCCCTAGTCAGCAAGCCTAGACTCACTCCCTCCTCAAATGGAATCACAGAAACGGGCGGAAAGGGAAACAAACCTTCAAAGGAGAAATTTCATTTTAATGACACCATTAATCACTCGTTTTTTAATTAGGAAAAGGTCCCTAATGAGACGCTTTTGCCAGCTAATAGGATTCTCCATTTCCATGAGAACCACGCTTGCCCGGAGGATTAGGGGAGTCGCTGCTCACCAAGCCAGGATCCTCCCCCAGTGTCCAATTTTGTTTGCAAATAATGCTGATTCCCAGGTGCGGCGGACGCCCTTTCCTGGCATCACTTGCGTTGCTCCCTGTGCTGGCTGGAAAGCGCCAACACTCCTCTGCCTTAAAAGACTGCCAGACACAGATCTTCCCCCCCAGGACTTGAGTAAGTGGGAGAACACAACAAAACACAAGCTGCAATGTTTGTTTCTAAGTATTTTTGTATTGTGTACATTCTGTATATTTTTGTTGTAACATATTATTTGAGCACAGATTCCATTAAAGATTCTTTTTTTCTTTAAGCCATCGGTCATTCAGGAAGTGACCTGGAGGGCTGGCATTGGAGCCTGTTTCATCTGGGGCCGGGTCAGGGCGGGTGGGAGAGGGCTGACGGCAGTGGGGGTGGCGCTCTGATTTACGCGCTACAGATGGGGCGTCCATGCTCAGTGCTGGTGTTTCCAGCTTGGTGGCTCTTAACCTTTCGTGAATTGCTGAATTCTCTTGAGTGGTTGCTGAAAGCTGTGATTTCTCTTCCGATAAAAATGCACAAGTAGACAATGTTGCATACGACTTAGGGAGAGAAGGCTGGGAAATAAGGAAGCTCATCCACAGTTTCAGGTCAGGAATCTCTGTGCCAGCGGTCCTGGTGGGTGCCCCGCCTTCCCCTCCCACTTTACACTGTACTCCGATGAGAGATCAATATTTTCACTGTTATCATTGGAGAAGTCTTCTTCAAAATACCCTAGGTACTTCCTTTTTTACCCCAGTAGCCTCGTGTTTAGGTCTTTCTCGGGGCCGTCTGCACTGTGGTCTTGAGGAAGGGATGGGAATGTTCTCAGGGTAAAAGGGCATGGACAGTTCATACAAAAGGGGACGATAAGAGGAGCGTAAATGTGAAAGGTGGAGCCTGGTGCTTGGTGAGTGGGCTTTGGCTGGGTGAAGCCTGGGAAAGTGAACTTGTGCTCACCAGTTTTCTAAGCTCATGGCGGTGTGCTGTCATTTTGCCATTCATTTCTCTCACTTGAGGATTAAACCACCCTGTTAAGTTTGCAGTGGGAGTTATTTCCTCTAATGTTTTCATATCAGCTTCCTGTGTAGCATTTAAAAATATTTCTAAACGCTGCAGAAGTCATCCCAGAACAGACTTCAGAGCACAGTGCAGGCAAAACGTCCGAGAACCCAGTTCTGTTTGGAGTGTGACGAACCGGCTCCCCTAGAAGGGAAGTGGGGACCCTGTGGGAGCATCAGTGCTCCTGCACGTCTGCTCCAGGCTCCGACACCCAAAGGCAGTTGAAGGTAAGCTTCCTGGCAGCCAGAAGCTGTTTCTTTACCTTGCCTTTGGCCTCCTGCACTTCCCTCTTCACTCTTCTGCTTCCTCCCTTCTACCAGATTCTCATTCTTACCATAACTTAATGAGTTGTTTTCCAATAATGCGATAATTATGAAGACAATCTACTGGGTTCCTACTATGGGCTAGGGCCCTGGCATATCTTACTCTCATTCAATTGCACAGGAACTTGGTGCGAAACGGGGAGAAGTACACCCATAGTTAACACACGAGGGGATGGCTTAGAGAAGTTTAGCAGCTTGCTAGTAGGATATGGCATGGCTGGATTCGTACCCAAGACTGCCTGGCTCCACGTTCTCAGCCCTCAGGTATTTGTATGTGACTTTAAGGACACAAAGTCTGTAGACACATCAGGGTGGTGGTTTAGAGACCCAGTCTCGTTGCGCTGGGCCTAGGCCCATTCGGCCATAGTCGTGAACCTCGGAACATTCATCCGGTGTTCACTTAACAGGATCTCCGCTTTGTCAGCCCTCTCAGAAGCAGCTGATGAGAAAATCCACAGGTATCGATTCATTACTGCTCCCTATCACCCCCGATTTCCAGAATCTAGCATTTATGCCAATTCAGAGTGATTTAAAGTCTGTAAGACACATTTAGGAAGTTTAG